GTTGCTTTCGAGGACGAAGGTGGACTAGTTTATCCCACCTAAGATGCTATCCAAATATGCAGAGTAACAGAGTTAGAAATCCGAAAAATAATAAACAAATCACAAAAATTCAAATGAGGCCTTTATTAAGTAAACCTCATTACCATATTTTGTCAGCAGTATCATTTTCATTTGTGTTGCCATTCATCAATTTGATCAATTACCAACACAAAACCATCTAGTAAAATTAATTAAGGCAGTCGCAGTTCATATATTGACGTGCGTTTTCATTATTTAAGATAATCGATAAGAACAAAAGTACAAAACGATGTTGTGTAATAAGCTCATTTTATCGTTCCGATTTATCTATTCAGTTTTAATTACTTTCAAAGTATTCTTTCTTGTTTTAATATGCCGCACTTAAAGGAGTTATTAAAATTTGAAATTATTGTTCTCTATGAACACGATGTGCCAATCAAAGAAATTGCAAAGCGACTTCATATAGCGGTAAATAGACTCATTATATTTTTCACAGTGCTGCAGGTGCATCCTTCATTATCCCACGGGTGTTATAAAACATGTTTAACGAATCATTAAAATTAAAAAATATATAAATCTAGCATTAGGTGAAATTCGAAACTACAATTATGAGGGCCTATTATACAGTATTATAAAATGCTTGTTCACAGAGAAACACTGTCAAGTTATGAATCAATCGCGACAGAGCGATTGGAATTGTTAACGCAATCCTGGGCCACCACCGATAATGTTACTTCTGCATCTAGTCGTCATTTAGTTATTGTCAATCGCCATATTGAAGAGCCCTTAGCCACTACAAAATCAACTGCTCAAATTCATAAACAAATAAGGACCAGGAAGAAGGACCTTGTGGTGTCAATGTGGGAGTCAATGCGTGGTAAAGATTTGTGCTGGTCACAGGTATGAAAGACCGTTTACAGCAAGTGATCGATTTTGAAGGTTTTCCTTTGCGGTGTTGATGTGGTAATTGTGTAGTTTTTAATAATATATAGGTATTGCACCGCTAAGGCAAAAATAATATAAAGTATGAGTGATGTTATTGTTATTTTTGTATCATGTCTATTCACTGCACTACCTTATAATTTTGTAAAAATGCAACCTGTAAAACTATTGTTCGTTTCAATTCATTTTGCGTAAAATATTACCTATATAAGAAGTTTCAAATAAGATTTTAACATGTTATTGGAAAAAGTGGTGAGATATCAAGTTGAAATCTTCAAATATGAATGCGTAAGGTATTCCATTAATTACATGATTGTTTAAGAATTTTAACCAAACCGGTTCGTTTACTTTCATGAAAAATGTATTGACTAGTTATAGCTATATAATTAGTTTTCTAACGTTTTGCCAATGTCGATATAATTGGGAGTTTAAAAAAAATATAGTAGTTACTGATACAGGCTGTAAGTATTTTAAATTTTGAAATCAAATGTTTACTAATTATAATTTGGAAGAATAAAATATTAAAATATTTGTTGAATTGCTCAAAAAGGTTACTTTTATTCTATTCACCAAATGTTTG